AAACTTCTTGATAAGTTCAGAGATCTAGATAATAACCAAAGAGAAGAAACCTCTCTATTATATTATAACTTCAAAATATCTTTACAAGAGTTATGTCCTCCCTTATTTATACTTGGAACATCCCTCCAAGAATAGGAAAAGACTTAGCAAATGAAAAGACACTAATTTAAAGTTGACAACTTGGAAAAGGAAAAGACTCTAATCAGCCCACTAAACATTAATGACGTTGGAAATGTGAATCAACCCCACTAAGTCATTAATAACATTGAAAATGCTTTCAGCCCCACTAAGCATTAATTGACATTAGAAATTGCTACTCATTCCACTTAACCTCCCTTGCATTGATGACATTAACTAAATTCTGATTATGAATAAATTTGGGCTTGATGTCTTCATGGTTAGCCCACATTTGCTGGATCAACCCACTAAGAGCTTCTTTAAACTTCTTGGCCCTTGATCTTTTGATTGGCCTATTTGGCAATTGCAATGGATCACTAGGTGTTGTCTCCTTATTCTTATCATTTTACAAAATAGACATTTTCAAACCGATTTTTTAATTTTTGATTCTTAAAATAAAATAAAATAAAAAATTATTTTTGGAAATAGAATTCAAACAACACATATGTCGTTCTTAAAAATTGTAAGTTGATTGTTTTGATTTTAAAGATATAATTTGTTTATAAAAAAAATTGAACAATATTTCTTAAATATATGGTCTTGTTTAAAAAAATTGTTTGGTTAATTAGTGGGCTCAATGCTCAAGAATGTGTTAATTGAGTTTCTAAATTTTTTTTCACAAAAAGCCTCATTTTCTTTGTTAAAACGTTTTCTTCGACTGTGATTTAAGATAAACAAAATATAATAGTTAACAACTAAATCAAGCAAAAACTAATCAACAAATTAGAAGTGGAATATGCTAAGAATGCCATGAATGCTTATGTAAAAGAGATAAATGAGAGAGACAATGCAAACTCAATTTATCCTAGTTTATTGCGTCAAGACTTACATCCTGATTGTAACCACAACATCGTTTTCCATTATTGATCAAGCTTCATGTAACACTCTGGTTTACCAACAAGAATGCTACACATATATGGCACAGATACGCACTTAATAAGAATAGCACAAGATTTCCTATAGGTATCACAATAGTTCTCTTGAAACTACGTGACTAATTTAAAACTTTTCCTTTGTATCCTTTATGTTCACAATATTATAATAAACTATACAACCGCATAATTGCATAAAATTAAAACTTAACACTAAATTGTAATAGCAATCAATTCTACAAAAACGGACAGCATGACCTCTATTTATCGGACTATCCAAATTCTTAAACCTAATATCCATACATAAACAATACATAACATATTCATATTAACATCTTTAGAATCTATCCATAGATTCCTAATCACTCTCAGCAAAATTGAAACATACAAACATACTTTGTTTTATGTAACATATCCAAACCTTTAATTACATAATCTCATATCAATTATATACAATTGTACTAATAATATCTTCATCTCAAATACATAATTTATCTGAAACATAGACATACACGCATAATCCCAAACGTTAGTCAATCGCGTTGTTCCTTATGTGTCTGCTAATCATTCTTTTCGCGTCACTAGTTCTTCAAAAACTCATCATCCGAGAAAGCACCTGAAATGTTTCCCCATAACATGGGGTGAGATTTAAATCCTAGTAAACTCTAAGTTTATAGAATATTCTCCCATTCTTAAGCTCACTTCATACATAATTGGTCAGCACATGCAGAATAGAAGAAACATACAGCACATAATATAGAAAATTCCTTATCGCTAAATCTAGTTTAATTACATCCTAAGGTTAATTACATGTAATCATTACAATTTTTCAAACAACTTAACTTATTTAAATTACTCAACACAACGGTAAATAATAAACATATAAACACACAACCACTTTGAAACAATTTTATTTAACATAGTAAATCATTCACAGTTCACAAATAACCTTACAGAATTTACTAGATAATCCAATGCTACAGTTCTTACGAAAGTTTTCACCTTTTTCCTGTTAACCTGATACTCCCGAAGTAATATCTCCAAGTATCATAGCATTCTCATACATACTCATATTACTTTATCATATTATTCTTTCAAAAACCAATACTGACAAATTCATTAATTTTTAGAATATCAATAAAACTTACAAACACAATAAAAATAATAGATAACAAAAATTAACAGATAAAACACACCATCACACAAAACTATTCATCAATTAAACAAACACATTAAACATTACAAAACACTCACATTCAATCTATACATTACCATGCATCACAGAAGTACAAGATAAACCTACAACTACACTCACATATATACTTATCTTTTCATCATAAATAACAAGAACCACCTGATGACCGGATGCGCTTACGGTAATAACTAATCACATTCCACCAGAGTCATCCAGTAATCGAATGCAGTCAACTTGTATGACCAATTTATTCATTGGCCTCGTACTGGAATTCACTCATATTATATATATATATATATATATATATATATATATATATATATATATATATATATATATATCCTTATTGAATTATGTACTTTCAATTTAACACACTTACAAAGCATCCTTCTTTCTAAGGATTACATGTACAAACTATCACAGATATTTAGTATTCATTACTTTTCTCTTTACAAGATATAACCGATTCACCATCAAATTTACCAAAACATCAAAGTATCTGAACATCACACATTAACTTTACCAGATTTATAAACTCATCAAAACTTCAGTCTTAACAGTACACCTTAGAATTATCAGACATACCAGTCATTTCACATATTATTAGACACGTCAATCGTTTCACATATTATCATATACGTCAATCATTTCACATATTATCATATACATCAATCATTTCACATATTAACAGATACGTCAATCATTTCATATATTATCAGATACGTCAATCATTTCACATATTATAAGATATGTCAATCATTTCACATATTATCATATACATCAATATTAAACTCATTATTTAAATTATATATCAGCATACCTCACGCACCACATTTTTATTTACCATATGCATACTAAGATTTCAATGTCCAACCACATTATTAATACAAACAATAACCATTATCCCATCGGATTCTGGTAGAACAATAAGCCGGAAGAAAACTCCTTAAATGGAGACAAGCAGTGTGATCTTCAAATCACTTCTCCTAGGAACACTCTAGTACCACAAATAAAACACTATCAATTTCTAAATGAGTGTCACTTGCCATTCAAGTAATTTACAATTACTTGTTAGTTCACCAATTAACTTAGGTGACTTACTTAATTCATTTGATCACCTTACTTTAATTTAAATAACTTCCCAAGCTATTTATTTTGTGATGGCCGAACGATGGCTTAGTTAATTCATCATCCTCACATGATTTCCACTAACCAATTCATACACCATTATTTATCCTAAATCAAGTTGTTATCAATTAGACAACTTCCAATTTGATTAAACCACTAAATGACCGAATGGTAACATGACTTGATCATGCATTTACCAAACTTTTAATCATCCTAACACAGTTCCTTTGGCACGTAAACCTTAATTACTTATTTATCAATATTAGAACCTATGCCAAAACATAATCATTTACATAGTTTGTTCATTTAACCTAATTAACCCTAATTAGGTTTGTATTACTTTTTAATGCTTTCAAATGACCAATTATCATTCTACTCACTCCAATTCACCTTAGAGTTCATCATTATCAAATAAACCATGATTAACCAAGCTTTCACCCAATTTAAATCCATATGGTCGAATTGTTCACATTAACATTGCCTAGGTTTTCATACTTTTTCCATGACTAATGGATATTCCATTCACCTATTCACATATTAGGAATATCATTGAACACTTTAACATCCTCACATTCAATTTCCATACCAATTTACATGGCATGGCTGAAACCCTAATTTCTTAGGCGTTTGTAGTTTTTCTTTAAATTAAACTCAAATTCAATGACTTCAATCTTTTACATACTCATCAATGATAATGATTTCTTTTAGGAGGTGAGGAGTTGAAACTTGAAAGGTTTATAATTTTACTAATATTTTTTTTTTAGTTTTGAATTTTAAAAATCATTTTATTTTATTTTATACTTTCTAGGTGGGCTTATATTGGTAGCATGGATAATTTGGATTGAGCTCTTGTCTAACATTTGAATTGCCCACATTTATATATATCATTAATAATTTATTATTTATTTAATTTTTTTTAATAAAACATAATTAATGAATATAATATTAATTATTAAATTATATTAAGTCAATTTTTTTAGAACACTGTATAAATAATGGAAAAAATGTTTGTCCTTTTAAAGGATATAAACCTTATGTCATTTTAGATCCTACCCGTTAATTTCCGTCAATCAACAGTTATAATTTATTGGGTCAAACTTATTATTAATTAATTAATAATTTTGACCCAATAAATTATTACCGTTGATTGACAGAAATCAACAGTTAGAATCTAAAATGAAACAATGTTATATCCTTTAAAAGGATAAATATTTTTCCCATAAATTATAGATATATATGTACACATTAATTCAGTTCATGTAGTTGAATCAATAATCTATTGACCTGGTACCCCGATCGAGTCAATAACGAGAGCGGGTTTTATAACATTGCCTCAGATGTTGCAGCTAACAACTTTGAGATTAACCACAATTTATTACATCTACTACAACAAGAACAGTTTAGAAGAGAAGATTCAGAGGATCCTAACCTCTATATTAATTTCTTACAGCTTTGTGACATTATATATCAAGATGAATGGTGTCATTGACGATTGTATCATATATACTCATATCGTTCTTATTCTCTTTGAAAGATAAAAGTCAATTGATGGTTGTAGATTCAGCCTCAAAGAAGTATCAACACTCGTGAGGACTAAGTCTCCAAATTCTTCAGCTATATTTCCCATATCCAAATGCATAAATATTAGAAGTGTGAACATCTTTAATCAGAAGGAAGGAGAGTCTATACATGAAGCATGATAGATATAAAGAACCACACAAAAAGTGTTTACAACACTACTTTGAAAATTGGCATCAAAATTGAAAATCTTGTACAATGATACAACCCTTTCATCAAGAATGATGATTGATACTTCAACTGGAGGTTCTTTTGCCACCAAGACTTTAGAAGAGGGCTTAGAGTTGATAGAAACCATGGCTTCCAATGAACATCATATTCCTGCGGAAAAGTTTTGGAGCTTGATACATATAATGCTTTGTTAGCCCAGAACAAGAGTATTTCCAGGTAAGTGATATGTATCAAGATATCAGAATAATCCTTACTGCAACACCTTTGGAGGGATTATCCTAATTTTTCTTGAAAACAGTAAAATCATCTTAATCCACATATATATATAGGTATCCATAACAAGGGTTACAACCACATAGCAGCACTCTGTCATTAGAGACTGGTCTTTTGCAACTTAGACACATTTAAGACAACATCATTTATGCAGGCGACTAGAGCTTGTCTAAAAAATTGGTGGTTTCTACCTTGCAAAGCAAGTAAACGAAAGAGCCAAAGGCACATTTCCAAGTTACATTGGTGAATCCCAAAGAGCATTGTAATGTTATATCTTTTGGGAGTGGCAAAGTAAGTGAATCATACATGGATTAAAAAGAGGAATGTGATTTTGGAAGTGTTTTGCAATATTAGTTATTTTAATGCTGACTCTATTTTGAACTCCTTTTTCCGTATAGTTAATATGAGATAGGCTTAAATACGCTCTATTCAATTTTTTCATTGTTGGATTTATTGCTAATATGTTGATGACCCTATTAATACATTCTACTACACTAGTGGTAATTAGATTTAGCAAGAGACACCATGCTCATTTGTTTGCCAGAATTTTTTTTTTCTTATCTTCCTATAAGATGCTTAGTGATAGGACACTTAGCTTGGATTACTTGTTTGATTATTTTGCTGGATTCGTCTCTTAAGATAAGCCTAAAGTTCCAGGAGTATTGTTAAGAGTACCAAACAGATATAACTTGTATTTTAACGAGGGTTTATTTGGAAAATGAAAAATTTACACCATACAGACACTTTAACAGACAGTAAGTGATAATGTCAAGTCAATGACACAGAATAGTGATGTACCAAGAAAAGAGGGAGGGGATTGGAAGAGGCCATCCATATTCACATCAGTGTCTAAATGAAAAAGTTTCTAGCAGCAGAGTCAAATAAAAACCAAACTAGAAGCCCTGCAGCCAGAACATCTATCTTTAACATTCTCTTGTCTTTGCAGAATGCATCATTCTTCTGTGTGGTAGTGATTGCGTGGCTAGGACTTGCTCCAACTGCAGCCGCATAATACATACATGAACAACACTTGTATATATGCTTTCTTATTGACAAATCATAAATTAATAAAAAACAAAGCTTCTTACCAGCAGGACTTGGTGAAGGACTTGTGCCACTTTTGCTTGAACCTTTCTCCAATTGATAGAAAACTTGAGCCTCTGGTGATTTGGGATCCATGTGCAACAGCTCTGCTTCCATTGAAAATTGACAACAAAATTCTTATTTTATATATCATGGCCCAAAATCAGTTACAAATTGCTAGAAAGTGTGAAACTAGCATAATATCTGAAATTAAAAATTGTGAAGTTACATATAAATCCAGGACTACGAAACCAACATAATGTTAGAAATTCAACTATAAGTGATAAAATTTCGCTGAACACGAAATATATAAGCGAAAAGACCCATAAACTTAACATGGATTAGGATGTGGTGTCGAAGCAACTTATTATAGTGAATTATGCTTGACAGGGTACTCGAATTGGACTAGTTGGATTTTTTATGAATAAGTTGGAAAAAAAAAATGTTTAGCTATGGATAAACGTACCGGGGCATTTGGAGATATTGGCAGGGGCATTGCAAACTGTTGGGAGGCTCAAAGCTAAAGTCACATTAATTTGTAAACCACCAAGGTCTGGATCATTACGATCTTTGATAATAACACACAAACACTTTTTGTTGCTCTTGAGCACTTGCTTGAGACCACTACAACAATCTGGTGTTGGAGCTTTTGCTTCACCCCCAACATATGGAAGACATGTTGCTAGCCCTGCCAATTGCTCTGTGCATTCCTCTTTGTCCTTGGATGAATCTCCCAATACACTGCCAACTATCATTGATGCTAGCAACAACAAGTGTGCCAGTGCTTTTGTGTTGTGATAAAACATCTTTTTGTGGTTTTGAAAAAATGGGGAGAGATATTGGAAGTGATTGAAGTAAATGTGAGATTGGGAGTACTTAAATATTGATAGAGGTAGGATGTTGGTGAAGAATGACTTTTTTTTATATATATAAAATTATCTAGTTTTCTGTTTAATTTATAAGACTAATAATTGGTGCTAGAGCACACTCATGAGAAAACTTGGATTCAAGAAAGTATTGCTGCTATGATTGGGATTGGGACAAACAACCGACCTTAACAATCTGCTTCTAATTTGTAACATTCTTTTGTAGTTTTCTAATTGAAAAAGCAAGTAAACATTAGTGTGGACACACCTACAAGTGCTTTTAACTTAGTGGATCACTTCACCAACCCACTAACAGGCCTAAGCAAATGATGCATAAGGACAATTGTGGATGACATAGTGGCTAGAATACATGACATCATATTCACTTTTAATGATACAGATTTTCGTTCTTTGCAGGGGAAAATGTCTTGCACTCATTCAAAGCAAAATTGAAAGCTAATTCATTGAAGGAATCCTTATTAGAGTTGTTTAGCTAAATTTGGATTTCATTAATCGGAAGTAGTGTTCATCTTATTTTATACCCTTTAATTTAAATAGTCCTTTTTAATTATTTAACAATCTTACATTTATATGAAGTTAATATTAACATTTTTCTTTGAATGAGTGCAATTTTGAGGTAATATTCTATCAAATAAATAACACGTGCAAACTCTAAAGAAAAGTTTAAAATTAAAATACACTTAAGAAATATTTGATCGAAATTTTTTTTATTGTGCAAAAGAAATTAATCTAAATATACTACTGATGATACATATACAATTATAATTAAAATTGCATAAATATAAGAAGGAAGGTTATATTTACAACCTATTTTCGTTTTACAACCTCTTACAACCATATCTTAACCGTTGATTTTCACCAATCAATAGTTATTATTTTTGCAAATTAAATTAATTAATTATTAATTCGCAATAAATGATAACTATTGATTGACGAAAATCAACGACGGTTAAGATATGATTGTAAGAGATTATGAACGAAAATAGGTTGTGAGGATAATCTTCTTCAATATAAGACTATATTTTTTTGCAAATTAAATTAATTAATTAATTATTAATTCGCAATAAATGATAACTATTGATTGACGAAAATCAACGGTTAAGATATGATTGTAAGAGATTATGAACGAAAATAGGTTGTAAGGATAATCTTCTTCAATATAAGACTATATCTTAACCGTTGATTTTCACCAATCAATAGTTATTATTTTTGCAAATTAAATTAATTTATTAATTATTAAATCGCAATAAATGATAACTATTGATTGACGAAAATCAACAGTTAAGATATGATTGTAAGAGATTATGAACGAAAATATGTTGTAAGGATAATCTTCTTCAATATAAGACTATATTTTTTTTTTTTGTGTGCAATATTTCAAGGTAGTTTTTTGTTTATATATTTAATGTAATACGTCAGTGTAAGGTGTAAAATAAAAAAAGGCATTTTGGTTTATACCAAAAAATAAAATAAAATAAATCTTAATTGAATTTTGATGAGTTTTCTAATTAAGTTACTTAAATATACAATCTAGCTAATAGTGTCGTTAGATATTTTTACTTATGGTAATTTCATATTTTATTATATTATATTATATATATATATATATATATATATATATATATATGGATATGAATATCATATTCCAACTACTCACCTAAGAATCTACTAAGAGATAGATTCATGAGTATCTCAACAACACTAAACAGTCAAAGTACACAAGATAAGGGTCACATCCCAACAGAAAGGGAGTTGAACCCTAATGCAATCTGGGGAGCTCAAAGAGCCCAGACCTAGAAAGGTAATCCTTATAAATAAGAGCCTAAGGATCCCAGGTACACACTTTTAACCTATTTACGAATACTGCCCACACTGTGCACACACCTTCCCCTTGGCTATAAGCCTATTGCTTGTGCGCAGTGATTGGGACATCGGGTATAAGCCTAGTATACACTTGATTATACTGTATCTTTAAGCGCATACCTCACAGTATAGCAATACGGTCTATCCAGGACCGAACATTGGCGTCGTCTGTGGGAACGATAACTTTCGATTCCCATTCCACGATGACAAACACCCGTTCGACGTCCAGTACTGCCCAAATGCCGCCACACCAATCCCAGCCCCAGCCTTATGGTATGCCTCCACACCAACATGCGTTGGAACAGCTCCAATCAGCCACGACCCCTGTGCTAGTAGAGGTCCAGGGCAGCGAGGTCGGCACTCAAGGACTGCCCTCCAGAACCCAGCCCAACACGACAGCGGGCCCAGTGCGCCCACCTCCACATAATGAACAGCCCAGGGACATAATCACTGTGGCCATGAATGCGATCCTTCAAAGAATGCAGGAGATGGAGAACAGATTCCTGGCTCAACAAGGGTTGAATGCCCAGAAGATGGAGGCAATGGAGGCTGAGCTGCAAAATCAAAAACTTGCAGGACGAGCTGGAGGAGCAGGCCGAGGTGGAAGCGCAGGCCAGGCCAGTGGGCCACAACATCAAAACGTAGCCGCGGCAGAAGGAAATATGCAGAATCCCCGCCACGACAACCACCAGGAGGGCGGAGGACCAGTCAACAACCAAGGAGATAATTATCTCCTTGATGAGGAGGCTAACGATAGCCCATTCACTGAAAGGCTCATGAACTTGGCAATACCGCCGAGATTCAAGAGTGCCAAGATACCACCGTACGACGGAAGTCAAGACTCGGAGGCCCATTTAGAGGCCTTCAAGACCGAGATGTTGTTCAATGGGATAACTGAACCTATTAAGGCCAGAATCTTCACGACGACATTGACAGGTCAGGCAAATGCTTGGATAACCAGGCTTCCCAAGAACTCGATTGACTCGTTCGAGGACCTAGCCCGAACTTTCCGGCTGAATTACGCAACAAGAAAGGCGCATCCAATGCCGACCTACGCTTTGGGAGGAATCCGGCAAAAGGAGAACGAATCATTGAGGAAATACCTCGATAGGTTTAAAGATGCCGCCCTCAAGGTTCGGAATTTAACTGAGCCAGTACACCTGCATCTGATCATCTCGGGACTAGATGGCGATTCTCCACTTGTGAAGTCAATCTATAAGAACCCGGTCAATGACCTGGAGGAGTTCCGACGAAGGTCGGACAAGTACATTGACATGGAAGACATGTAGAAGGCTTATGGAGAGTCCAGAGGACGAAGCCCGAATCGTCGGAGCCCGAGCAAGAAAAACAAAGATCGGGATCGGCGGGGGTCGAAGAAAGAAAAAGAACCTCGAGACAAGAGATCGGATGATCGATCTCCAAGGAGCAAGTATGACGATTACACACCTCTGAACATGTCCAGATCTAGGATATGGAAAGAGGTGGCTCAAACCGAAATGCGCAATGTCGAGAGACCTCGACCTCTCAAAACCAAGAGTGGGCTGGACAGAAACAAATACTGCACTTTCCATGACCAGAACGGTCACATCACGGATGACTGCTGGGACCTCCGAGATGCCATTGAGAAGCACATCAGAGAGGGAAAATTAAAGCAATACATTATCCAAACTCAGGGTAAGAAGAATAATAAGCGAAGGCAGAGAAGTCGGAGCCGAAGTCGCAGCCCGAAGAGAGGACATGAAAGATCGGGAGCAAAACCTCCCTCCAAAGGGCAAAAAGGTCGAAGATAAAGATGAGGAATTTCAAGAAGCTGAATTTGAATGCAATGTGATCAGTGGAGCTTTGGGTGGAGGAGGCGAAACTGTAAATGCAAGAAGAAAGTACCTAAAGGAGGTCATGTCTGTTAGAGATAGGCCGACCTTTAAAGGAAAAGGCAGCAGCTCGGCTCCACCAAGACTCTTATTTACCCAAGAGGATCTAGAAACGGTCGTACCCGGACACACCGATGGTCTGGTGATCACTGGAGTCCTAGTCAACTGCCGGGTCAAAAGAATCTTCATCGATCACGGAAGCTGCGTGGACATACTTTTATGGAACGATTTCCAAAGGATGAACTTGGATGAGAAAAACTTGAAACTATGTGTGTAAGAACTCGCACCGTTAATTAAGGAAGTTAATTAATTAATTATGTGAAATTAGAACACAATTCCATAATTGACCCTAATAATTATTATGAGGCTTTAATAATTATAGTAAGTGAGTAATAATGCTGAAAGTCGCTTTTTTGACAAAAAGTGCAGATACCGGTTCAGCTAGTCGGTATAAATGCGTACCGATAAAGTATCCCAGAAAATTATAATAAGCGCATGAATATTCCTAGAATAATATATAGGACTTATAAAACAAGTTTCGAGTTAAAATAATGAGAACTGGTGCCAGAACTGATACTGGCTATGGAAAAGCGCGTACTGGAAAGGTGCTACGAAAATATAATAAAAATATGATAAATCTTGTAAAATTGAGTAGGTTCAGAATCCTGAGTTTGGGATTAAAATGCTAAGCGTAGCTATTTATGATAATACTGTGTGTTAATGACTTAACTGCCTATATATAGTTCTTGGCACTAAACCCTAGGCTGATTCTTCAGCCACTCTACGTGAGAGTTTGGAGCCAGCTGCTGCCACCTTCATTTCTTGACCTCTTTGGCTTGAAAATCTCCCAAGTTTGCACATTTCTTCTCATTTCTCTTCATCTTCAAGCCTCTATACACTTGAGAGTTGGCATTGTGAGGAGTTGTGGGTTTACATTCAGAACTTCTAGCCACTATTGGTTAGGGAGTGAACTGAGTTTCCTTGTTTTGAGTTGTTAGAGCCTTGTTCTTAGTTGTAGAAGCTCCAAGTAGCTTCTTTTGTTAAGGAAGAACGCATATTTGTTGGTCCATTTTCGTTCTCTCCAAAGTCAGTACCTTGGAGCTGACATGTGAGCTCCAAGAGCATCATTGGTTGGCTGTTTGAACCTTTGGTAAGTGTTATAACCTGTGGTCTTGAGTTTAATTGGTTGAAAGAGATGTCTTGGCATGTTTAATAAGTTAAACAAGTATGTAATCTGAGTCTGAACCTAAATGTGCCTAAAATTAGAGTCTTGAACG